GTTCTTCGCCTTGTATATTCAATGTTCGACTTGATCACGGCGGTTTGGCATTATCAAAACCTGTTACAAAAACGAACACGGCTTTAGTACGAAAACGTGACAAGCCCGTGTTTCAACAATTTCCCCCTTTTTGATAATGGCAAACGAGACGAGGTTATGCATAGGAGGATTATTTTGAAAAAGATGTTCCCCCTTAATAGATGCCATTTTAAAAAAAAAATTCCCCCTTAATTTATGCATAACCTTAGTATCTTCCCCCTTTTGACATTAACAAAAAGATTTAAAAGTAAACTTTAGAATTGTAAAAGTAAACTTTTATTCATGAAAAAGGGAAATGCGGAATACAACGGAATAAAAAATACAATCATAGTAAGAAGAGAAAAAAAAAGTCTAAGCATCGGCATCCTCGTCGTCATCCACGTCGTCCTCGACGTCCATGGGATCGCCGTCGACCGCATCTTCAAAGTCGGCCTCGTCGGGGGAGGAGGATGGAGCATAGGAGTTATCCTCCTCGTCCTCACCTTCATAGTTTTGGCCAAGGAAGGTGCTGTCAAAGGGCGGCGGGACGTAGTTGACGCCGCGGAAGAACGCCGTCATGTCGTGGTGTTGGCGTTGCAGCGTCCAGTCCATCCGCTCGATTGACTGCCCCATGCCGTCTACTGATGAGGTCCATGACGAGGAAGGCGTATGGCAAGCTCCGCTCAGTGGTGATGGAGGCGCAATCCGCCATGTGGATCATCACGAATTTCGCCCAATTGATGGAGGCGCCGTGGATGATGGCATGAATCGCCTTCAAGTCCTCGTTGAAGTGCGAGGTATGGCTGCTGTCCCGGGGGCGGAGAATCCGGGTGATGATGTAGAGGAGGAGGCGCTTGTCCGGTGGGGCCGAGTGAATCGTCGGTGCGCCGCTGTGGCGGATCAAGTTGGTGATCCCAAGCTCACGAATGACGACCGCCTCGTTGTTGAGGATCCAATCGTCGCCACCATAGGTTGCGATGTCGTCACCGCGGATGGGCAGCCCTGCGACCCGAGC